GAAAGTACCAGAAAGTGTGAGTGGTTTAAATTGGGGGCTGGTCTTCAGGAAGCCAGGCACTTCAGAAAGAAAACGACATGGCTGAAGTCAGAGAGTACAAGTTCCCTCCTGGACTCCAGGTTGTCTGAGGAGGAAGCGCATCTTAAGAGCAGCCCAGGGGGACACAGGACGGGAGAATGCAGGTGAACTTCCACCTCCGCAGAGGAGAGGTGCTGTGTGAGCCGAGGACAGGAGGGCTTTCAGGACCGGCTGGCAAGAGACCATGCCCCATGGACTTTTAGATTTCCTCTCCAAAGCCTATGTATTTGTCCGGGGCCAAATCCAACCTTTTGTTTCCAAACAATGCTCTATTCTAACATGCTCCTGAGGAGCACCCTGCCTCCTGGACAAGGACACATATGTAATATCTTAATCAATAAAAAATATATTAAAAAAAAAGAATTGGCAAACTTGAAGACAGAACAGTGACCTTTATCTAGTCTGAGACAGAGAAAGAAAGAGATTGATGAAAGGTGAACAGAGCATAAGGGACCTGTGGAACACCATCAGAGCAGACCAACATGTGTGCTGTGGAGTCCCAGAAGGAGAAGAAAGAGAGAACGGGGCAGAGAAAATATTTGAAGAAATAATAGCTGAACACTTCAACATTTTGATAAAAGCGTGAAAAAATGTAAACCTACCACAGAGCTGCAAGAATAGACAGCCCAACGGATGGAGACAGAGACGTGCTGAGAGGCCCAAAGGTCCCAGCTCAGGATGGGGCGCCGGCGTCACCGGGTCATCTAGGATGCAGACTCGCTCATCTTTCTACCCCACCACCGTCAGCATATGCTTTCTGTCCTCATGGTTACAGATCAGTTTCTGCACGTCTGGGCTTTGTGCTCCAAGTTCTAGGAGAGAAAAAAACAGTAGAGCCTTAGCCAGTGTAGCTCAGTGGATAGAGCATCACCCTGCGGACCAATGGGTCCCGGGTTCCATTCTGGTCAAGGGCATGTACCTTGGTTGCAGGGTCCTCCCCGGCCTGGTCGGGGCTCATGCAGGAGGCAACCAATTCATGTGTTTCTCTCACATCGATATTTCTCTCCGTCTCTCCCTCTCCATTCCACTCTCTCTAAAAATCAATGGGAAATCATCCTCCGGTAAGGATTAAACAAAAGAAGAAGAGCCCTAGCTGGTTTTGCTCAGTGGATAGAACGTCAGCCTGCGGACTGAAGGGTCCCGGGCTCGATTCCGGTCAAGGGCACATGCCTGGGTTGTGGGCTTTATCCCCAGTAGGGGGCATGCAGGAGGTAGCTGATCCATGATTCTCTCTGATCATTGATGTTTCTATCTGTCTCTCCCTCTCCCTTCCTCTCTGAAATCAATAAAGATATATTTAAAAAAAAAAGAAGAGACGTGGCCAGTTTCGGGGGAGGGGGAGGGGGAGGGGGAGAAAGGAAAAAGCAGTAGAGCCAAAAGTCTTCTCGTGAGGTTTCATGTGGGAAGGGACACCCACCCCAGGGGCTCCCACCTACACGCCCTGGATGGGAATTGGGAGAAAGGTCTTCCCTAGCACCCCATCCAGAACCAAAGGGGTCCTGTTAGTGAGGGAGGAAGGGAGGCGGCTGTTTCTGTGGTCCAGGCTGAACAGCAGGAAGGGAGAACTGCAGACGTGAGCGATGTTCTAAAACCACGAGCCAGCCTTAGGCTAGTGGGGGGAGGTGGCAAAGGAGTAGTTCCCGTGGCTCTGAGCTTCCTACCGTGGGATAGTAATGGAAGGATGGGGGGGGGGCAGTTGTGTGTGTGTGTGTATGTGTGACAGTTGTATGTCCACTATTCTATGTCCATCAAAACCACAGAATGCTAGCCTAGCACTTTAAATACATCTTCCCTTAATTGTCACAGAAAGTACATAGGGCGGGGACTGCTGTTTCTGCTTCAGTGAGGAAAGCTGTGACTCAGAATGAAGGCATTTGCTGAAGGACAGTCGGGGGGTGGCATTCTCTTGGTCAGGCGTAGACAGCATCTTACTGCGAGGATGTGAAAGTGGCTTCATGCTGCAGGTCCTTTCCTGGTAGGAAGACAATAGGGAGGCTGGGCCTCGATAGAGGAGCATCAAGCCCGGCCAGTGTGGCTCAGTGTTTGAGCACTGACCTATGAACCAGGAGGTCACGGTTCAATTCCTGGTCAGGGCACAGGCCCGGGTTATGGGCTCCATGCCCCAGTGTGGGGCCTGCAGGAGGCAGCCGATCCATGCTTCTCTCTCATCATTATGTTTCTTTCTCTCCCTTCCTCTCTGAAGTCAATTTAAAAATATTTTAAATATATATATATGAGCATCAAGAGAATGAGGAAGCTTGTATCTGCCACAGATAGTGACCCACCTGTCCGAGGCTGCACAGCTTCCCTGTAGGGCTCCCTTGACATTGAAATTAGAGGTTAGCTGGGAATGTCAGGTAGGGCCTCTCTGAGGGCCGACATTTGAGTTCAGGGCTGAATGAGGAGGAGGCAGCCATGCTAGGAAAGGAGGTGGCTGGATGGAAAGCAGGATGGCTGGTAGCACAGTGGACGGCCCGGGGAATGGGAGGCTGGTTGGACGCAGACTGAGTGGAGTCTTATGCGTCATGATGAGGCAGGGAGACCATTCCGGTGCTGTCACCGTGGGCAGCTGAGAAAGGAAGCCAGCTTGGCCCAGGCTGTTAGCAGTGGTGACGATAGAGGTTGGGTTTGCAAGGAGAACTTATGGCATTGGCTGAGAAGTGGTGTAAGAGAATAAGAAAAAAGGAATGACTTCTCAGCTTGTCTTTTTTTCTTGGGCTTTTTTCTTATCTTCTTTTGTCATTTGAGTGAAGTTGGTAGACAATCTTATCTAGTGGTAGTGCCATTTAACGGGATGGCGAGGACTCTGGAGAGGCTAGGGAAAGGGAGGGAGAAAATGCAGCTACCTATTGCATCCATGATCTATTCAGCTCTTTGGATTAGAAGGTGAAGGATACCACATTATATGCATTTTAGAAAATCTATTAAGACCCTGGCCAGTAGCTCAGGTGGTTAGAGTATCGACCTGATATGACAAGGTTGTGGGTTTGATCCCTGGTCAGGGCGTATAAAAAAATCAAGCAGTGCCCTAGCCGGTTTGGCTCAGTGGATAGAGTATCAGCCTGCGGACTGAAGGGTCCCAGGTTCGATTCTGGCCAAGGGCACATGCCTGGGTTGCAGACTTGATCCCCAGTAGGAGGCATGCAGGACGCAGCCTATCAATGATTCTCTCTCATCATTGATATTTCTATCCCTCTCCCTTCCTCTCTAAAATCAATAAAAATATATTTTTAAAAAAATCAAGCAGTGAATTCATAAATAAGTGGAACAACAAATCGATGGTTCTCTCTCTCCCTCTTCCACTCTCTCTAAAGTCAATAATAAATAAAAATTAAAAAGAAGAAAAACTATTAAAATACTTAAGTATATTAATAAATCTAAGGAGAAAAATCATATTTCCTCGAAGTCTGAAAAGGTATGTGACAGATTTAACACCCATTCTTAATTAAAAACTCAAAATATGAATAGAATTGATATCCTTAACATGTTTAACATGTTTGACATTATTTTAGTATCAAATTTAATGGAAAACGCCAGAAGAATTAGCAATTATTTAACATTGTACTGGAGATCCTAACTGAAGCGAATACACAAGAAAAATAAACTAGAGGTCTACCAATTGTAAAAGAGGAAGTAAAACTATTATTATTTGCAGAAAATGTAACCAGTATGCTTGGAAAAGCCAAAAGACTCAACTGAGAAACTACCAAAAACAATATGAGAATTCAGTAAAGTAGCAGAAAATAAAACATAAAGAAATCAATAGTTAACATACAGGGTGGGACAAAAGCCAGGTTACAGTTGTTTTTATGGAAATAAAATAATTAATATCTATATTAATAAAAGGGTAATATGCTAATTAGACCAGATAGACTGGACATCTTCCAGTCGTCTGGTCATCCTTCCGGACAAAGCTACATTGGCAGGGGCCAAGGGAGAGGCGGTTAAAGGTGATCCGGCCAGCAGGGGAGGGAAGTTAGGGGTGATCAGGCCGGCAGGGGAGGGCAGTTAGGGGTAAGATCAGGCGGCAGGCAGAGTGGTTAGGGGCAATCAGACCGGCAGGCAGGTGAGCGGTTAGGAGCCAGCAGTCCCAGATTGTGAGAGGGATGTCCGACTGTGGGATTGGGCCTAAACCGGCAGTAAGACATCCGCCAAGGGGTCCCAGATTAGAGAGGGCTTGAGTCAAAAAGTTTGCCCACCCCTGCTCTATCCACTGAGCCAAACCGGTTAGGTTCATGCACCAGGCCTCTAGTATAATAATAATACAAAAATAAACTGTTTTGAGTGCTCACAACTGTAAATCTAATTTTGCCCCATCCTAGACAATATAAGGAAGAAGATATTCCATTTGTAATAGCAACAAATAACAGAAATAACTTGGAATAAACTTGACATGAAGTACACAAGATCTTTAAAAAACAAACAAAAACATGCCCAGCTGGCATGACTCAGCAGTTGAGCCTTGACCTATGAACCAGGAGGTCATGGTTCAATTCCCGATCAGGGCACATGCCCGGGTTGTGGGCTCCATCCCCAGTGGGGGGTGTGCAGGAGGCAGCCAGTCCATGATTCTCTCTCATCATTGATGTTTCTCTCTCTCTCTCTGCCTCGATTTAGCTGCCTCCTGCTCACCCCCTACTGGGGATGTGCCGCAACCAAGGTACATGCCCTTGACCGGAATCGAACCTGGGACCCTTCAGTCCATAGGCCGACGCTGTATCCACCGAGCCAAACCGGTCAGGGCAATAAAATATATTTTTAAAACCCTCCAAAATGTTTATAACTAGACAAATGATTGTAAATGTTGCTTTTAAAAAATAAACAAGAAGAGCAAAAATAAAACTTTAAATTAAAGAGCACTGAAGGGAGAACTAGATATTAAAGATATTAAAACAGCCAAAACTGGTTTGGCTCAGTGGATAGAGCGTCGGCCTGCAGACTGGAAGGTTCCAGGTTCGATTCCAGTCAAGGGCATGTACCTGGGTTGCGGGCACATCCCCGGTGGGGGATGTGCAGGAGACGGCTGATCGATGTTTCTCTCTCATCGATGTTTCTGACTCTCATCTCTCTCCCTTCCTCTCTGTAAAAAATCAATAAAATATATTTAAAAAAATAAAATAAAATAAAGATATTAAAACATAGTTCAAAGCCTCAACAGTGAAAACTACGCAGTTCTAGCCCATGAACCAGAAGGCCAGTGAACACAGGAGAAATTCCAGAAGGAAGCCCCTTTGCGCAATGGGAGTTTTGTATCTGATCCTTGTTGGCTGTGAAGACTGTTAGTAATCCTCTCAAATACATTCTCCCCTTCTCTTATAATAACGGAATGTGCCTGGCTAGGTTACACTTCCCAGCCTCCCTTGCAGCTAGACATGGCCATGTGATCAAGATTTTACCAAGGTGGCGTATGAGTGAAGTGATGTGTGCCGCTTCCGCACTGACACAGGAAGACAGTGGCGCACCTCCTCTGAGCACCCTCCCCCCTTGCAACGCAGGCTGATTTGATGAGCGGTTCTCAACCGCATGCGAATCCCTGGGGAGCTTGTTAAAATACAGATCACTGCACCCTTCTCTGCTGCTTCTGAGTCAGCGGGTCTGGGTGGAACCCAGGAATTTGTATTTCTAGCAAGTTCTCCGGCAACGCTGACCCTCCTGGCGTAGGAACCATTTTGAGAACTGCTGCCTTCAACGCAGAGAAATGAACTGGAAGGAGCCTCAATCCCGAATGGCAGGGCCACAGAGTCACCCACTGGCCTGGGAACACGAATTCTGAAATGGCAGGTAAGAGAAATTATTTCTTTCTTAGTTAAGTCATTGTATCTCAGAGCCTCTTTGCTACACTTTAACCTTACCCTAACTAACAGTACAGAAAAGACAGGTATTTCCACAGATGGCAGTTGAGTCAAATTGAAAAAAAAAAAAATACTGCATCCATAAACCATTATCACATACCAAGATAAACTCAAAATGGATAAAAATCAATAAATTTAAAAATATATGTATATAAAGAAAGCTCAGCATGGACTGACTTTTAAAAAAGGAATACTGTTAATTCTGTAGATCTCTTCAAAACCCACAAAATAGGCTGGTGTAGCTCAATGGTTGAGTGTCGACCTAGGAACCAGGAGGTCAGGGTTCGATTCCTGGTCAGGGCACAGGCCCGGGTTGTGGGCTCCATCCCCAGTGTGGGGCGTGTGGGAGGCAGCCGGTCCATGATTCTCTCTCATCATTGATGTTTCTTTTCTTTTTTTAAAATATATTTTATTGATTTTTTTACAAGGATGAGAGAGAGAGAGAGAGAGAGAGAGAGAGAGAGAGAGAAGCATCAAGGATGAGAGAGAATCACTGATTGGCTACCTCCTGCACGCCCACACTGGGGCTGGAGCCCACAAGCTGAACATGTCCTCTGACTGGGAATTGAACCCTGCCCT